AAATTAACTTGTTGATCACTCTTGACTTTGCAATCCTTTTGGAGGTGGCCAAAATTCTTGCATTTATAACATTGTGGTTTCCCTCGGAACTAACAATCCTTCTCTAGATGATTTCCCCTTTCACAAATTCTGCACTTTCTTGTATTTTCTTCCACACTTGAACCTCTATAAATGTTGCTTCCGCATTGCTACCTCTTCCCTTGATGAATTTCTTCCTCTACCTCTTCCTCTTTCTTGTCTACCACCTCTTGATGATTCCCTCCTTGTTTGTTCATTACTTGATGATTCTCCATGACTTTTAGAATTCAATTTAACTTTTGATTGGAATGCATTCTCCAAAGGCTTCTCTTATTGTTTTAATAACCTTTGTTCATAAGCTTTCAAAGAACCCATCAGTTCTTGGACATTCATTTCAAAGATATCCTTTGTTTCTTCAATTATTCCCACCATTGTGTTATATTTTTTCTAGTAAACTAACTAGAATTTTCTCAACAATTCTCTTTTGTTCAACTCTTTCACCATATGATTTCATTTGATTGACAATCTCCATTAGTTTAGAGAAATAATCAGTTAAACTTTTAGATTCTTTCATCTTCAAATATTCTAACTCTCTTCTAAGAGTTTAGAGTTTGATGATTCTTACCTTTTTGTCTCCTTGAAATTCTTATTGTAAAATTTTCCATGTGTAGACACCTCTTTTTTGACTGCGCTTAAGACTTGGACGCCTTAGGTTGATCACTTGATGATGAAAGTTATGCTGTACAAACGTTCAATTTCTTCAACAAGAAAAGCTTCTAAATCACAACCTTACACCAAAACCATTTTAGACCAAAACTATTTTAGACCTTAGAATCCTCTTTTTTCAAAATATTTTTTCAAATATTTCTACGATGTTCCAAGACTCGCATTTCGTTTTAAATATTGCACTTTTCGGTAAACCGAGTAAGGACAAAGTGGAAATAAATGAAAGGGAGGTGAATTATTTGAAAAATATTTAAAAACATCTTATTTATAAGTTTGGAGTTCAAGAAAATAAGAGGGGAGGGAAGAAAACTAGTTCGGAGAAAGGTTGGACATCAATCCGTTAAGATAGAAATGAGCATCCTTCACTAAAATAGGCATATCTCTTTGAAAACTTAGAATTTAGATGTGACGCTACCACCATTGGAAAGTAGACTTTCGGGGCTTCAATTTAGACTCAAGAATCATCTAAAACTGAGTCCGGATGAGGGAGATATGCCCATTTGAAGTCGGACTTGAAAAATAGATTTTTGTCTAGTCGCCCACTAATAGTGTACGGCCGCCCACTATTAGTGGCCTACCGGCCACTTGTGTCAAAAAATAGATTTTTGCAAATATTTGTTGCTAGCTATCCCCCACAAGTGCATACACGGCACCAGCTGTCTATACAAATATTTCTAACTGAGTAACATGTTTTTCTATATATAGGGGACCTTCCCTCCTGGTTTTAGGTTAGAAAAAATTCTAAAAAGTCTAAATACTTGCATAGCACTCTCTCTCTCTCTCTCTCTCTCTCTCTCTCTCTCTCTCTCTCTATCTATCTATCTATCTTACAATCTACACACTCTCTCTTTATACTTCCTTAACCAAAAATTTGGCTCTTTTTGCTGAGGTTCTTGAGCTCAAATCTCAGTCCTTGAGAGTGAGAACTTGTGGGTTTGTTAACAAAAGAGTTACCTTGCTTCAAGAGGTATAATTTTGAGCATATCTATACTACTTCTACCCTATATTTTCATGCTGTTTTTGAACTATTTTTACACTATTTTTATGGGCTGAAGCTTGTGGTTTAAGACTATTAAAGGTAGAGCGGTTAATCACCTTTCTTTGAACCTTGTCTCTTAAGCCTTTATACTTGTGTTTCCTATCTCTTCCTCAACTTTTTTTAAACTTTTTACCACTAATTTTCAGAAGTTTTCAAAGGCTAAAAATATTGTTTTGAAGTCCCAAAAATGGAAGGGTTAGCCACCCCTCCTTATGCTTGTTTACTAGCTCAAGTTCTCCATTATTTTAGCTAACTTTTTCAAGCTTTTCTCTTAGAATTCCAGCAATATTTTGAGCTATTTTAGGACTGTTTTAGGTTGTTTATTTCATTTATGTTTTGTATAGCATGCTTGTAGTGTAACGGTCCTCATAGGTTTGGTGTTTTAGGCATTAGACATCAACCTATTTAAGTTGATAGCATTTATTTCAAGCTTTCCATACTTGTGTTCATCTCTAATCATCTCTGTACTTCTCTCATTTATTGGCTTCTTCCTTTCTTGGAGAGTCGTTTCAAACCGATTGTTTGTTTAAGCTTGAGATTTGTTTGACACTTCCCTCCTTTAGTGGACTTAATGCTCATTTTGGATTAAAATGACTAATTAATGGAAAGATAATTAAAAGGGGTAATCAATGGCTTAAAATGGAGCAAGATAATAAAATGGTTTGGGTTCAATCAGACGTTAATTGAACCTATTGAGTCTTAAGTCGTTTAATACTTGTTAGTAATAAAAGCGGTTCAACAGTCGATGTCAACTGCTTCCCTTAATACCATGATAGGGAACAGTTTCATGAGTCTTTAATTGTGCATTTATTGAAATTGTATCCCTTGGTTCATAAGTCATCATGCAATGAATTTGCGCCGATTGATGGCTTCCGAATCAAGCATATCCCTCATTTGATCTTTCTGATGATAAGAAGAGGCAGGGTGGACAAACATCCCCTGAGAATGCTCTGTTTATTTTCTGTTACAGCCGAAGAAACCCAACATTAGTGGCTGGCAGGCCACTATTAGTGGGCTGCCGGCCACCGCTTCTGGCCTGCCGGCCACCTTTTTCAACTAGGCAGTGCCACTTTCTTCATAGAACCGAATAGAGGCTGAGATGCAAAACAAGACAGAGTTATTCTCGACGGGGAGAAATTCATGTGCATGCATAAGCCATTTCCTTGCTCCTCAGGACCCGTTAAATTTTTTTTGTTAATAGTAGTATGTTGTACCTAAAGTAGTGAACTTGTAATTAATTATTTAGTTAATTAATTCTGTAATGTAGCTAATTACTTAGTTTAATTAGTAATTTGTATTAATTAATTTTGTGTTGAAATTATTTACCTGAGGTAGAATAGTTAGATAATTCGTAGTAATTAGCTAATTCATTCATTCGGACTCTTCTACGCGAGGGCAAATTGTAATAATGTGTATGTCTTCCAACCCCCATTTCTTTCTTCCTTTCATTTACTCGCTTTTGATGGCATAAAGCATCATGTTTTAATTAGCATTTTTCATGCCTTGCATCCATTTGTCTTGCATGCATAAGGGTTCGGCTCATCATACTAATCAATGTCAATTGCAAAATTCCTTACTCGAATACGTACGCTATCTCATGCCTTGAACTGACTCACATGTCATGCTAGTAGTCAAACCTAATAGTTGCATTTTGTATGTGTTGCATTAGTCACTTGCATATTAGAGCATATATTTTTCTAATTGTTTTGTTTCTTTTGGCTTGCCTTGGAGTACGAGATAAACACTTATCGCTTTAGTATATTGCATGCGTGTGATTGTTGCCATGACAAGCATGTTTCCATAAGGCTAATTCCTTAATTAATATACTTGTTTGAATTCCTGTAGATAAAGGCTAATTGCTTAAGTTGGGATAACTTGATAAATGTGCATATGATATCACTTTTTCAAGTGGTACATATTCAAACAATTTTCAAACAAACATAAATCAAAGTATTCTAAGTTTTGTAAATTAGTCTATACTTGTGTGCAATACATAGTAAGCTAGCCTAATAATCGGAACAGGAGCATATAATGTAAATAAGAATCACATCATAATTAGTAGAGGCCGATATTTGATCGGGCGAGTGGGGTGCTCAATTCATGACCTTCCCCTCTCGTACCTAAGTTCCCGAGCTGAGACACTTTCGTGATGACAGACACGTGGCCTTTGGCACGAGTCACGGGTTTCCTAAATTTTCCAAAAATATTTGGGTGGCGACTTTGTAATTTGGCAAAATAATCCATTTTTGGCATTTTGATTCAAAACCGATTTTCCAAAAGATTTTCTAGATTTGGACTCATTTGTGTTTATCTATTTCACATTGCACTTGTGGAATCAGATTCAGAACCACAAGAATCCGAACTGTAGGGCTATCGTATCCGAAAGGAGCACGAAAGTCAAGCTAAACCATGCTTCCTTTGATTTCTTAGCTTCAATGATTCTTGGAAACGACTCATCTGAGAGTGCTTGTTGGATGAAGAAGAGTGCTTTAGCATCTTTTTTTTTCTGGTTTCCTCTAGCTGCTACTTTTGTGCTGAAGTTAATATAGTTGTTGAATCGGGTTCATCATACCCATTTTGTATCAAGTTCCATAAACCTTGGGACTGAAATAAGGTCTTTATCCTCACAAACCAATAATCATAATTTTCTTCAGCAAAAATGGGCATAGATGGTTGCTGGATACCTATACTTTGATTGTTGGAGTTAGCCATGGAGATTTTCTGCAAAACCCACACACCTTCTATTTTCAGCCCTCTTTTTCGAATCCAAGCTTCCACTTCGAACTAGAATCTGATACCACTTTATGTTGGGTGTTTTGGAAGCAGATGTGTGTTTAAACTACAAAGGAATCAATCTAGAACACACAAAATTGGATCTAATTTTTTCTACAGAAAATAGAGAAAAAGAAGAGCCAAAATAAGGGAGAAGATGGGTCACTGTTAACAACCCCGTTTGCAGATTTTTCTCTTAACTTTTTGGCTTCCCTTACAAGTTTTATATATGAAATTATATCAACCCAAGTACCAATAAAACATCTGGAAAAATTTCCTCCACATATATTAACTCTAATTAACAAAACCCAACCCAAAACATAACTAGAATTAAATAAGTATAAATGATTGTTTGGATACAAAATTAAACAAGCACATTATATCAACAACCCTAAGAGGAGTTCGATTCACAAATGAGATTGGTGTCAAGTTTGCCAAGCAGACAATGGAAACCACCACAAACTTCATATGGAAGCTCTATGAGGAACACACTGACATAGACAGCAAAGACTACCAGAGAGTTCTGATGGTGATCGAGAACTACCAAGGCGCCAAAGCCATGGGATATGACAACAGCATCAACTTCAGTGCGGTATTCTTGCAAGAATTCCAACGAAATTTGAAGTTTAGATTCACTAATTTGATCTATCATGAGATGACACACAGTTGGCAATGGTCTGGGAACAACCAGGCCCCTGTTGGATTCACTGAAGGTATTGTTAGTCTAGCAAAATAGTAAGAACAAGGGATAAATTGTCTTTTTCACCAAGAGAGCCACACACACACCTTAAGAATCTCAGCCACTTCAATCCATGAAGAGTCGTTTCCATTAAAAACCCTATCATTATTCTGATTTTTATTTCTAATTAAAATTCTCCAACAGGTATTGTTGATTATACAGTCTTCAAGGCCAACTATTATCTGCCTAATTATGCAGAGCCTGGCACTAGGAACAGATGGGATGAGGGTTATGGCGTTACAGCGTAGTTTTTGGAGTATTATAACAATATTAGGCCTGGTTTTGTGGTGATGCTGAACATGAAGATGAGGTATGCTTTTAGTCTGAATTACTTTGTTGAGCTGTTGGGGAAACCAGTTGATCAGCTGTGGAGTGAGTACAAGGCCAAGTTTAATTGTGAAGGAGGAGGAGTAAGCTATGGTAGTGAACATACAAATGGTGGAGAAGGAGAAGTAAGCAATGGTAGTGAACATACAAATGTAAGCTCTAATATCAAAATTTTACTGTCCATGATTCAATTCGCAATTCAATTTATAATTTTTGTGAAATCGATACGAATCTTTTAATGAATTTATTTTGAAAGTAAATCTATAGTGAATCACACGATTCACAATCAAATGGGTGAGATTAGATAAACCTAATGGTCCTAAAAATTCTTTTTTTTTAAAAAAAAAAATACTTGTTCAAACAATAAGTATATATATCTTTTAAAATATTTTAGTCTTTAAAATAAAATATTCTAATTAATTGTTTTTTATTATTGGGTCATTGTTACTTGTAAAGGTTTGTATACCTGTGAAATATCTAATATCGTTGTTAAGTTATTATTATTTAAAAATTAAAAGTGCCTTTGTTTACTTTCTTTATTAAGAATAGTTAATAAGCAATATCTAAAAAAGAAAAAAATGTAAAATGCTAATTTTACATGAAAATTTGTATTAACTTCTTACCTATTAGACCACATGATTATCATTTAAAATAACATTTTTATTAATTTAAATTTAAATATTTTATATTTATAAGATATATTAAATATCTAAATGTATAGATATATTTTTCTAAATAATTTTTAAAAATTAACTAAATTTTTACGATTCATGATTCGATTCGATTCATAATTTGACAACTATGAAGGTAAGTAGAATGTTAGAGTACAAGATAGGTATTGAGGCAAACCAGAGTATCTATCTCTCAATTAGCTTAAGTAGAATGTTAGAGTACAAGATAGGTATTTGATTCATGGATTTAGAAAAAGATTTGAAAAATGAAAGGAAAAAAGTGTATAAAACATAAGTGAAATGTAATTATATTTTATTCGCATTTCACCTATAATTTCTCTTCCTTTATTTAAAAAAAAAAAAATTGCCCCCAAGTTTATGAACCAAACAAAATCTTAAGAAATGTGTTTTGTTCCTATCTTGATCTTCAAGGAGAATAACAGTTATGTGGCATAGGAGATTAAAGGTGATATTTTATGAGAGAGAGTGCAAATTCCATTTTCATTCATATCATATTTAAACAGCTCATTTGCTAGTACAAAAATTCATATTATCCATTTATTCAAACACTAAGCCTGTGTTTGGTTCATAAATTTGGGAACAAATTTAGGAAGAAAAAATTGTGTAAATGTAAATAAAATATAATTATAATTTATTCACATTTCACCTGTCTTTTTTAATTTTTCTTTTCTCTACACTTTGGCAATTTTGAAGTCCTCTTTGTTGAGGCAAAAGAACCGTCAACACACACTACAAGAAAACTGGGTATATGAGACGGAACTATTTGCGACGGCACACTTGCCGTCTCAAAAAGTCACTTTTTGTGACGGCAGAAAATGCCGTCTCAAAAAAGCAGAGTATTTGCGACGGCACCATTTGCTGTCTCAAAAAAGCAGAGCATTTGCGATGGCACTATTTGCCGTCTCAAAAAATGAGAGTATTTGCGATGGTATTTTCTGCCGTCGCAAATACTCTCATTTTTTGAGACGGTAAATGGTGCCGTCGCAAATACTCTGCTTTTTTGAGACAGCAAATGGTGCCGTCGCAAATACTCTGCTTTTTTGAGACGGCATTTTCTGCCGTCACAAAAAGTGACTTTTTGAGACGGCAAGTGTGCCGTCGCAAATAGTTCCGTCTCATATACCCAGTTTTCTTGTAGTGTACCCAACAATACAATTAAAATAAAATCATTCAGAATCCTAAACTTACCTAAAAATAATTCTTCATTAATTTTTACGTTCATCCAAAATGTAATAATAAAATAACAATAAATTATTTTCAAATTTCATCAAATTCAAACCCATTAAATAAAATAAAAAACATTAAACTCCATCATGAATCACATCTGTGATTAGGGTTTGGTTTGTTGGGTAAAAATTTATAGGGTAGGATGAATGAAATCAATGGCTCAGGTTAACAAAAATAAAAATAAAAGTCTAAGTGTGGGCGGATTCTTGCGGGTACGGGTAAAACTCGCAAACCCACCGACAACCCGCAATAATGTCATATTCCAAACCTCATCCACCCGCATTATATCTATGAAATCACCTATTTGTATGCGGATCAGTTCGGGTTGGGCAAGTTAGGTGATTCAGATAACCCTATGACTAGCCCTACTTCAATGTTGTCCGTCAAAGAAGAGGCTTCTTTGCTTTAAAATTTAAAAGAGAGGGTGTTATTTCAATTTATGGAGTTCTATCATTAGTTTTGTTTTAATGATTTTAATCGCTTATTTTGTAGGTTGTGTCGTATATATTATTTATTAAAAAAATTTAGTTGATCTGATAATCGTCGCATTTTTATTTTATCAAGTTTGTTATTGAAAAAAAAAAGAGCTGTTTTTAAAGATACACTAATCATCTATTTTTTTAAAGACAAAAGTAATAAAATGAATTGGTTGATATTATTGGATTGACTTTTTTTTTTGTGTTGAATAAAATAAATGTAACAATCTGTTCTGTGAGACTGCTCGAGCAGTCAATCGGTCACTTGAGCAGTGATACAAAACTCTCAGTATCATGTATGTTTGTAGATGAGACCGCTCGAGCGGTTAAGTGGTTGTTCGAGCGTAGAATTGAGACTCCCAGTATTTTTACTATAACTCTGCAAAACCTCAAAGACCTTGCGTTTACTGTTCGAGTGGTAGAAAACTCGCTTTGGCGATCTCTTCAATTTGGATCACTTCACTTGAGCAGTGGAAAGTTCGCTCGAACGATCTATTCGGGACAACACATTTACAAGTCGATCTAAACACTTTTCTTCTCAATTTTTCCATACATTCTCTCTCTCTCTCTCTCTCTATATATATATATATATATCACCACTTCCCCAACCCTAGCCCTACAAACACTTGATTTCTCTTAGTTTTACCCAAGATTTATGTCACGACCCAAACCCGCTCCTATAGGTATAGTATCGTAATCGGCCAATAATCCATGATTACCAAAGGCCTACTTAACAATAATACAACAACGGGGCTAGCGGAAGCCACTAAATAAGGAAATAAACGTCAAACGAGCTATAAAGACTTAAACGAAATAGAAGAACTTTTTATATATACGCATATATACATCAGTCTATACACATCAGTCCATGACAAGTTTAATTACAACACATAACCAAAACACAGCAAGCTCAATAAGAATTTGCAAGGCAGTAGTTCATATATCAGAAGGGTGACTCCAAAACCACCCATGAAGCTTTAAAGCTTGATCGGTTGGAACCCCGCGGTGCGGCACAAAAGTTGGCTTGACAAAACGGAGGCTAGGTCGACACCACTACGTCTCCTCTTGTACTTGATCACCTACATACATATATAAAAGCATAAGCGAAAGCCCGATGATAACAACAATGTAAAGAGGTTATGAATGATGTCCTCACCGTAATCTAAATCGGTCATTTATAGCAATAAGTGGAAAATCATAATCATTTGCATAACAGATCTATATTTCATACTAGAAACATAATA